TTATGCACTTCAACCCAAATGGTCTCCTCTACCTTTTGGAGCTTACTTTACTTAGTAGTTATATTACTTAATTTCCATAAAAGGATAAGGATTGACTAGTTGGGTTAAGCATGTAACTTTAGTTATTATCTTAGCCTGTCGCCACTTGTTTATCTACTGTTTGATACGGATTTCATAATCCTTCTACTTATTCCAATCACTCTAAACTGTTTGATTAAACGTATCTTATTTTGTTTTTTATTTCTCTAGTTATTCCATTGATCGCCACTGATATATCTTCACATCATACAGTACGTCATGTATTTACAAATAATTGGTTTATGATTCATGTCTTAATTTATCTGTCTGTTAACTGTTGAGTTGGTTAAATGGTAAACGTCAAAGAATTCCTCCGCATATTTTCAACTTTGTACATTAGGATTTTATAAATTATCTAATAAAGCTCAAAACCGCAATTGTTCATTTGAAGTGAAATCGATCAATACAAATGTCATGATTTAATCTAAGTATATTGTTCGATCGGATTGTTATTTATGAAATAGTTTTGCTGTTATTCACATGACCTTTTTCTTATTATTACCATGACGAACTATTTAATCCACATATTATATAATAGAAGAATTTTCTAATTTATTTTTAATTAGGTCTATATTGGAGCTAATACAATAATATCTAAATGAATGACAAGGTATGAACAGAGTACTATAAGCTTTTCTAGTGTTCACTTTTTTGCTTGAGTACTGAGGATGTAAGTGATTATCTTAGCTAGTGGTTGAAGACGTTGAATTATATAGCTCAAAATTATTCTTGATAGCTCAGATGAATTCATTCATTATGTTCCTATAGATCATGAGTTCCAGAATTCCAACCATTTTTCTTTTTTCCATATGTAATATTTCCTATTACCACTGATACTGTTACTAATTTAACTACTCTAGGATTTGTTTTGGAAAGTTTATCTTTCTGTACAAATGTGGTATGGCGACTTGAATTGATTTACTACGTTTCAAGTTGGATATGAATAACTGACTGATCGATGTATTTGAATTACCAAGTACCGTATTTTGGTACCTAATATATCCCTCTACTATTAATGAGTAATGATTGTTGTTCAAAATTAGTCTTCTTTAAGAAATTTGTTAATCAGTGATTGCAATAATTCTGAATGTCATTTTATTCAGATATTTGAAGGGATATTAATTCATCTTGTTGTGAATTGATTAATGGAAATGAATCGATCCACGTGCTCAAATAACTTCCTTGATATGTCATCTAACACCCATGTGTACTGTTCAATCATTATAACATCTGAATATATATCTTTCTAATTTATGGAGATATATGACAGAGTCTAAGGTAGTTTTATTTAAACATGATCTGTTGACTAGAAACCAAAGCCAAGCAATATCATAAACCAAGGAGAAAAGGATTTTGTATTTGCTTGATATTTGATTATTGACATGAACGTAGTTTTACGCATTACCAACTCTGATATGTAGTAGTGGTTAGTGTTATACACTAACGAGATTTATTTATGGACTAATACCGTACATATATTCTTATTGTACATTTGTTAAGTAACTAGATTATGTATATTCATATTCCTCCTATTATAAACTATTTCAACCTATAGACTATTATCATAAAATTTGCCATGCTTAAGTTATGTCCAGTTTATTAATTACCGACTCCTGTAATCACAGCTACTTTTTGGCTTGATATTGTACAGATGTTATTTCCTATTTTGTGGTCTGTTTGGCTTGCATATAAACCAAGCATGTCTGAAATAAATGATTCGCATAGTGGAAGCTGACGTTGGTGTTCTGGACTCAACTGGCAGGGCTAGTAGGAAAAAGGACTAATAAGGGCATTCGGCTGCTCATACAGCTCGAACGTCATTGGTTTGGCACGGTGTTAAGATTGCATAAGTCGTATTCCGATTAACGGATAAGTCAAATGATAATTAACCGGCTAAAAGACACAACAAATAGTATAACAACAAATTGGAGATTTAGGACAATCAAACAAAAGTGTAACATTGGATTATGCGTTTGTGCTATGAGTCTAAAAACAAACTTTGTGGCCGAGAACCAAGAGAAAATGTATTTGGCTTTTCAAAGCAGTAGGTTCTATAATTTAAGGTGGTTTCCGTGAACTGTATAGGTCAGTAATATAAGATTCAATAATTTGAGTCTACTTAGTATGATCAGTATGAAGTATTTTCCACTCATCTTAGCACCCTATATAGACACTGACGTAGAATATGCCTCATTATGCATAAAACAAGTATTAATTATTTTAGTTGATAAGATTTAACAATTTAGCTAGCAGATTAATTTCTTCATATCGTGGTTTTAAACCTGATAACAATAATGGACACAATGTGCTTCCACAACCTAGATGCAGAATTTTAACGTACCTATTTGTTCACAGGTAAATAAAGTATTCTTATAAGTTCAATTTTCCATCCTTTTTTCAAAATGAACATCTCTCGAGCATAAAACCACTATTCTGTTTCATTTTAGAAACAGTAAAGTTTATAATGTAGAACTCAGTCAGTCAGTCAGTCAGCTACAACGTAGGACCAGGCACATATGTGCATCGGTCCAGGTTGCCATACCTCATTAGCACAGCAAGATGAACACCGGATTCATAGGAGTGGTTAGGTCAAAGGTTGCAATAAGGATATAGTATAGGAAGAAAGAATTAGTTCGTAGACAGAAAGAATGAAGTGATTTTAATCTCTTAGTTTAAGGGAAGACAGGGAGTGTATACACCGACGCCATTGTGATCGATTCTGAGCCATGTCACCAAGAGTCTCCAACCATTGGTTACGAAAGTCACGCGGACCCCAACCAAGTAGTCTGCATCTACCAACATGGCTCAGACTAGAAGTTAGTGACTTCAGGCACTGATGGCACGTTTTGGTTTGGCCGCCCCTAACTTTCTTCCAACCATCCCCTACCCCGGTTAGCATTGCACGTAGTGGTAATCGGTGTTCAGGCATACGTAATACGTGGCCCAACCATCTCAGTCGATGAAGATTCATAACCTCATCAACTGATTTACCATCATTCCCTAATACCCTGCGTCTAACCTCGCTATTACTTACCCGGTGATCCCAGCAGATGCCAGCAATATTTCTAAGGCATCTGTGGTCAAATATTAGTAGCTTACGGGTGTCTTCTACTCTTAAGGGCCATGTTTCGCTGCCGTAAATTAAAACAGAACGAACTGCCGCGCAGTATACTCGTCCTTTTGTTGATAGACGGATATCTCGCCTTCGCCACAGGTGACGTAAGTTGGCAAAAGCCAAACGAGCTTTTCGAATCCGTGTTGAGATTTCGTCCGATACCAACCCATTAGGGCTGATCACACTTCCAAGATAAGTGAAGTTGTCAACGCGTTCGACTACTTCACTCCCTATCCTTAGTTCAGGTGTTGACGCAGACCAGTCCTGAAGCAACAACTTCCATTTAGATGGAGAGAAGCGCATCCCAAACATTCTGGCACTGTTACTTAGTGCTACCAGAAGACTCTGCATTTTGTCAGCGTCTTCACCAAACAGGACTATGTCATCTGCGTATTCTAAGTCGATAAATGGACCTCTTGGAAGGAGATCAATACCCGAGAATTCAGTCGACGAGAGTGTTATTTCCATCAGTAGATCTATGATGAAGTTAAACAAAAATGGGGAAAGTGGACAGCCTTGACGGACACCACTTGAGGTTGCAAAAGTAGATGACAGTTCGCCATAAGCTCTGACTCGACTAGTAGTGTTCGAGTAAAGAGCCTTCACAAGGTTTATGTACTTCTGAGGTACGCCTTTCAATGACAGACACTGCCACAGAGTCTCGCGGTCTACCGAGTCAAATGCTGCTTTCAAATCAAGAAAGACCACCATCGTCGGACGCCGATAGGTATGCCTGTGTTCTAGAACCTGACGAATGGTGAATATGTGGTCGATGCAGCCACGACCAGGTCTTAGAGGAAATGATACAGTACTTTACACTGCCACGATCATCTACTGTATAAAAAAGCAAAATCAGTACAAGTAAAAAGAAGACTGATAATGAACATTAATGTAAGCAAAATCTTGAGCGAAGCAAACGCTGAAAGCAAAGTTGCAACTTTGACTTATTATAATCCTCACTTTCACATAAACTTCTTTTTATGACCTTGCGAAACATTATCATGAAAATTACACATATATGCATGAATGAAACCAATATTAAGTTACTTGAAATAAGTAGTTCGGATTAGTTACGACTAGCTTCTAACATAATCTAGTAATAATTCATAAAATCATAAGTGAAGAAACTTTAAAACTTCGAAAATTCAAAAGAAGAACTATACGGAGGAACAGCATTCAGATAAGGAGGTGGTTAACAGAAAGAGTAGTATGAATAATAATTATCGACTTAATATAAAATAGGTGGAATGTGGTTAACAGTGGAATCTGATATGCGCATTTCGGCCTATTTGGGACTTGTCAGATGGACTTAATTTTCATTCTGGGACTCAAATTTAGTACAATTTACTGAAAACATGATCACGCTATCCACTTAAATATTGAGTCCAGACAGCCACTCACTTGTACAATAATTATGAGTATATAATTCAATTTGGAATGTCATGAATTATTCTATTGTTGTGACAGTGTCATACATTTACAAATCTCAGTATTTTCTAATTTAAAGTTCTTCAGAAATAGCTTGAATCAAACAATGATCTTTAGTCTGATTGACTTCTATAACCAAAAACCAGTAGTAATAAATTATTATCCATATTTTCTATAAAAAAACTTATTATTGTCTATAACTAAAACATGTGAAAATTTGTAGACCTGAAACGGTCATATGATACATGGACGAATATATACATTTACTTCAAAATAACCGCTGGATTATATTGTTGAAAATAGATTGACAAAATAACACTGGTTTGTACGTTTATAGATTAGATTCTTTTTACAAAGTATTACGAACATAGTAACTAACCTATTTTTTTCCGTCATTGTCTATCTCTTAAATGAAATGAAAACAAAAAGCACGTTTATTGCTTATTTATTAAAATAAACATGTAAACAATGAATACAGATAAATGGAAACAATAAAAAAACAAAATATTTTTCCGTTTAATCGACCAATAAATTAACAAAAGGCTTAGTTCTGTTATCTGTTTGCTTCGTTTGTTTATTTTTATTTTATAAAAAATATTTTTATACTTGATGTGAAATTTATGTAAAGTTAATCAACTTTTATAGACAAAGATGGCTAGTGGCTGGCAGTGGAATCCAGGAAACGCGTTTCGTCCTATTTGAGACTCGTTAGCTAGATGTGTCTGCATGCCATCCATCTTTGCTTATAATGTTTGTTACTCAAGATAATATCGAGGCAATCCATACGGGATGTACATATGCTAATAACAGACTGATTAATTACAGTCCTTAATATCGATTGGAAGATTCAAACAAACGATACCAAATGAGTCTAATCAACTTTCGTTTCATCAAATTAGTGACACAATGAACAAGATTGTTTATTGTTCGTATATTTTCAGTTATTTCGCGTTAAAAGAGTTTATTACATGAAACGTAAACAACCAATTGGTCAAATAAACTGGTAAACCGTTTTGCATACTGACGTTTGTGCTGATGATGTCGCTGATAAGAACAATGAAAAGTCCACGACCAAACTTTCCAGCTCAGAGAAAAAACCTTTACTAAAATAAATATTTATTTTCCAGGATGGCAAAAATTATATTATTAACAATAAAAGTAATGACAAAATTCTGTTAAACATGGTAACAGTGAGGCAGAATAAACAAATGTATTAAAACGTTATTTGTTATCAGAGAAACTAATATCAGTTTTATCGATCAGGGTTTGAATATTCATCATGAAGATAGATAGGAAAATTATAATTGGGAAGGGGAAGCTTATTATGATGAGATAAAATGTCGAAATTGAGTGTAATTAGGAGGATCATATAAACAGAAATAAACCAGTCGGGGTGTAAGAGGTCTATGCAGAAGATAAAAAAAGGGAGCAGATAGGTGTGATGAAAAGTATGGAGATGAAATAAAATTATGAAAAATTAAGAACATGGTAGAAGGAAAGATTTTACCAATTTCTTTTGGACGCATAATTCTCGTTTCCTCAGATGTATGGGTATTGCTTCAGCAATGTCAAGAAGATGCAATATAACTACCTTTGGCGGCATTCTATTTACCTTATAGATGACTGTGAGCGCAGGGTCCGCTTTGATTGAGTGATCTGTGAAAAGTTTGCGATTGTACAGCTTTGAAAATTGATGCTCCGAAAAAAGAACTCTTTGCTGAACCAATCTTTCACCCCCTATTGTCTTATCAGTTATTTTCCTGAAATAGTTTATACAGTGCGCTTCTTCATGTCAAATTTATCATCAGTTATTCTGGCAAAGAATCGGCAACCCGAAAGTCTTAGATGTCAAACATTTTCGTTTTTCCAACTACACAAAATTTGAACGATATTTCTAGAATTGTATCATATTTATGTTCTTCATCACATTCACAGATTCTCTTGAAATATTTGAAAAAAGCAATTACTTTTGTTAGTTATTTTCATAAACAACCATGAACATCCCATGAAATCTTGAAACTCTCCTAATTTCATCAAACATTCGATGGGCCATTGTTCCCTAAGTTCATCATCGATAGAAGAGAAAACCATCACTTCAAGGTTACGTTTGATTAATGTTTAATCAAGCCACAAAAATGCTGTTTCAAAATTTCAGATTCAAATGTTCACAATTTGTAATTTATAGTAAAATCGAATAAATACATCAGTAAAATCACTCAATTATTCACTAATAATTATATAATTTATGTTCTCTTGATGAATTTTTGAGATTCACCTTTATTCACTTATCTGTAGAAACTGCCATTTTTTTATGAATGAACATTCATATTGTCATCAATAAATTTAAAGTGAAGTCTTCGATAAAAATTTCTTGTTCAGTTTGTCAGTAAACATTAATACACTTTGTATACGGTATATACGTATTTCGTGAAATACCTAGTTTATTTGTACGTATAAAGTGATTCGAAAAGACATAGGCATGAATGATCCAAAGTTTATGAAAGTGTAGTAAAATATTTCAAAAAGTTAGTGTAATTATTTGTTTATTTGTATTGTAAATGATGTATTTAAGGAATAGAAATAAAATGTATGCGGACTAATTATTTGTAGTGAACAAGAACACCAGTGAGGACAGTCGAATGTATTTAACCCAAAATTACAGGACATGTTAATAAAATCTAACAATCATAAAGTAAGTGCTTAATTTGCAAAGTGTCTATCAATAGTCTCAAAATGACTCAGACTTCATTGTTCTTGCATTTTCATACATATTGCATTCTGTTCCCATTCTTTACTGTTCGATCTTCTTGTCTCTCTGTTGCCAGACATTCTATTCACGACTAACATCATCTACTACTCGTGTCAATATAAGTAGCACAAACACCATAATTTTACACAATTTAATAACATGAATTGAAAAATTTTAGTAATCTTAACTTAAATTCACAATAATACAAATGAACTTCTAACTTCAGCATAATTCCAGGTTGAATTGTCAAGATATATCATCTGATCATTCTATCTAAGTCATCATTATAATCTTTATATACAATATTTAGTTGATCCGACTAATGTTTTTTTCTTCTATACAGTCTAATTAGTAAACTATGTTTGTTCCTTAATGAAAACAATATGATTATTATCTATGTTAAATATTTTACATTATAATAGAAAAAAGTAACGATGATTAAGAATCATATTTCAACAGTTGAAATCACGAGTCAATTGAAGCTAGACCACCATGGAAAACCTGGAACCACTGGACAGCCGTTTCGTCCTATTGTGTGACTCCTCAACAGTGCGCATCCACGACCCCGCTCGCGAGGTTCGAACCCAGGGCCCAGGTCCATAATATCAACAAAACCACTCTGTGATTATAAAAATGTAATTGTTACGTAGAATTTTAACAAAAATTGAGTCAAAGAAAACACATTCTACATGGTGCGATTTGAATACAAAATAATAATAATAATAATAATATTGTCATTTCAGTTTGATAGTTTAATCTCTACTTACATTATTATTATGATGAATGACTAAATTTAATAAATATTGCAAAAATAGCATTATTTTTCAGATTTAAGTTTGAAAGCTAGGAATTTCAACATTCATTAACATCATGGTATGTTATCACATGAAAGTAATTTACTAATCGGCAACTATTAAATTATTGTTCAAATTATTAGTGCTCATGGAAAGAATATTTTAACTCCCCTTTTAATTTTTCATAATATTGGCATATATTTTGATAGTATTGATTTTGTTATAATTTTTAAACTATTTATAAAAATTACATTAAATGTAACTCATTTGCTAGGCACAGATTTGTGCATTAAGCTTTAAGGCACACTTAAAGTGTGAGTTTTATAGACAATGTATGTCCATTCAAACTGAACTAGATTCAATGGAGTTAGATTTTATGTCATACTAGTTGAAGGTCAAGTGCTTTAACAATAAATTCACCGCTCAATGATCTTTATGATATATATATAATCAGGTGTACACATATTTATTGAAGGCACATAGAATTTAATATCATCTAAACAAAGTATCAGTATTGATTATTCGTTTAAGAATAACTCAAGATAAATAATAAACCGTTGGGATATACATAAACTGAAATTTAAGTACAATGATTTATTTTAATAGATTATTTATAAAATGTTAAATTTGACAATTCAGTTTAATGCTAGAACACTTATGTCGTTTACTTGTTCTCATAGAGTAACTGATTCAGTAGACTGATCAAATATAAAGAAAAGATTGATATTCACATTCTGAATTGAGAAATAAAAGTAAAATTCTAACTAATTGATAGTAGATTATACTCACAGTTAGTATATTTCTTTTTTATATGATATATAAATAAAATGATAGATTGTATATAACAATCAACTTTTGTAGGCTAATGGTGAGAATATGTAAAATATGTGTTTAGAAAATGGCATCTTACAATTTAAGGCTATAAAATACAAATATAGTTAAGCTATTTAGGATCTGGTTTACGTTCAAAATAGATGCTCACGGATTATGGTGCTTTATTATACAAATACTACATGCATAGAACATGGATCGACATTATACACAATATATTCAAAGCACTGTAATGAACAGAAACATTAGTGAGGTCAAAAGTTTACCTTGAATACAAAATTACAGAATCTCTTGGTAAAATATGAGAATCATACACTGAATACTTTATTTGCGAACTTCCATCATTTGTCCTTCACATTCTGTATGATTCTTCCAGTTCAAAATTTCTTTCTATTTTCCCATCCATTCTCTTTAATTCGATATTTTAGCTTTCTGGTGTCAGGTTTTCCACTTCCGGCTGATATTACACACTACTTATGTCGACAAATATAAATAGCATGTACTATAGTACAACCATAAATGCTTAATTCTGGAAGATACTTTTAATGTCAGAGATCACAACTGATTTAAGATATCTATCATGTTCTAGTAAAAAAGAATGAATTAAACTAATGTATTATACAAAATAGTAATGTTACAAGGTAGATGAACATATTTCTGTGTAAAATGTGAATTTGGTTAATAAGGTGTTGAACATCGACGGTAAATAAATCAGTGAAGAATTATTCATTTTCTTTTAGGCGGAAAAATAATTGAACGATGTACAAATCTGAATAAATTGAACTATTTCAGATAATGACAGTTACTGGAAGAGCGAAAAAAGAAAATTAATAAGATCTGAAACATACATAAGAACACTACTGAGGTGAGATGAAGTATGTGAGTAGTTGTAAAACGTTCGATAGTTGAGAATGATGATAGATACTGAATATCAATGGCCTTAATGCTGCATCATGTAATCAAACACTTTTATGAACGACTCAATCCTACGGTTCATGACAATGTAAAATGTAGGTATGAGTTCCACCAGT